TCATCAAATTGTTCTCACGTCAATAATACGGTGATAAATCAGGATTCACAAGTACAACGAATTTACACAACATTTTACCATGAAATCGAACCTACCAACCATTTTCATATCTTCAACACTGCCATGGTTTGGCGAGGATGAATCTCACATTCATTATTTTCTTGACTGGGCTCACACAGGGTTCAATGTTCCGTGGCTTGAATGTAATTGTACACCAAACGTGAATGTAAACTAGCTTGCACAGTAATTCGTTTCACAGTCATTGAGGTTATACATTTGTTCAATTACTTATTTATTTATTTACTTGTACGATAATAAAAAATCATACATGTAATTTCTTAGACCTTTTCATAATGTAAACTGATACATTTCATCTCCCGAGCGCTTGCTTCGTTTTTGTACAACATACTGGAAATAACAAAATGGCTGACACCATCATAAATTGCTGGTCATAAAAAATAGAATACCCATGCGCATCATTATGCAAATTAGTCCACTCACCGATTCCTATTAGTTGTATTCATGCAATTGGGCATAAAAAAATTTTAAAAAAAAATAATAAAAAAATACATAAAAAATGCTAAATTTTAATTAAAATGTAAAATACAACAATGAATTGCAGCAGCCAATCATTAGTAACATTCTTACCAAGTTATATAAAAATCGTTTTAATGCTTCTTGAGATGTAACTGAAATAGCTTAAAATTCACACATTATTATGCAGATGAGCTCAATAATATGCATGGATGTCAACCAAAACCTGTCGCTCGGTTTAAACTCAAAACAAATTTGCCTGTTGTGTATGGCATTTTCGTTTCTAAATAACAAGATCAGCAGAAAACTGAAATAAAAAAACCAACAAAACATGATCAGAAAAAAAGACGTCAAAGAAACCATACAAGTGTTTATATTTCAACCAAGTGAAAGTTTTAATGAGGAGCCATGATACCACGTACATTTTGTTGGAAATAAACAAAATATGCGATAAGATAACTGAAATGACCCGCCCATGCTCTACAAAATGCATGTAAGCAGACCAAATATGCAACAGGCAGTTCCAATGAAATTAAGAACGGTTAAAAAGGGTTCGAAAAATTGATTTGGCGAAGAGACTGCTAGAAAGTTGTACCGACAGTTCAATGTATTCAAAAATTGTAGCGTTGACTAAAACCGCATTAACGGCA